AGAATTGTAACGAGCGATTGATGTCACATCTGAATCTTACACGAATACGCGGAGTTATCTGAGCCTGGAGTGAGAGTTATGGGCCTTGTAGAACGGAGTGAACTAAACCTGTGCTGATATCACTCCAGAGTGAATTTTTAAGGGATTTATTTGAGCCTGCTACATCGGCGGGTACACCTCACTTTGCCCTCTATCTTGTTATAGAGTTTTACATTAAAGTATTATATAAAAGAAAGGATTATATTATAGATTACATTTACACTTACGTTTCCATTTACATTCACACACACAGACACACACACAGTCAGTTTGAATCAAATCTTTATAACCGGTGAGATTTTGATAACTTCACACCTGATTTATTTGTCTGAATGGATGGTCTGAATACATGGGACGAACCGTTGCAAGTAATTCTATAGAATTAAAGTTCCGCTGTGCCACATATATATGTATACAGTACATATAAGGTACGATGACGAGTCATTCCTTAATCAGTATGATGAACAGTATAAGTACATACACTTAAACATAGACACATGTGTACGATAATAATGACAGAGAGTTATATTAATATATTAGTTTTATTTCCTTGGTTAATTATAAGTTGCCATTTTTTATACATTTTTTATGAGATGAAAGAAGTGATGGTGCAGAAAAAAGACACTATAATCGTGATGCAATCGTGTTACTCAATACAATCTACAAAGAACAATATATAGGGCGCCTTTTTACTATTTATTCCTTATTATATATCAATAATTCATTCATGTATGAGTAACAAAGACTGTATTTATATCGCAAATATGATTACATCATGAACTCTTTATTGGTGTAGCAAATATATTTTAAGATGTCAGCAACTGAATTTTATTCTATCAAATAATGTTTTTTATTATCCAAAATATCGACCATGTTTAGAGCCATAGCAAGTCTACAAATAATCAGTGACAGTGTGACTGGACAGATAGGAGGGACCCTTCTCCTTGCTCATTGTTAGATGAAGAACACTTTCTGTTGAAATCTACAAAGATCTTAGGATGAAACTAATAACAGCACACAACTTCGTTATACACCAAATATCACTAAAATTCTACTAGATCCACAAATGATCATTTTCATTTACACAATGTTCATGCAAAAAAAATCTGCATCCCCTCTCCAGACCTTAATTATAGCAATATTTATATTACATGGTGTATATCAATGTTGACAACTATCCGTTATACCAAGTCCTGTCCATGACTGGTACCCTTCTCCCTGTAGATGTTTGTGTACATTTTCTGCCTGCTACATAAGGTTCATTGTGAGGACAGGCTTGGCAAGGGTGCTGAGGGCAGTTAAGGTGATGGCACAGACAGATAAGAGAGCCCTTGCTCCATGGAGTTTCGAGACTCCATTTATAAATACTCAAGGATTTGTGTGTGTTTGTGCATGTATGCGTGTGTGTGCGCGCATGCGTGTGTGTGTGTGTGTGTGTGTGTGTGTGTGTGATTGATATTTATAACATAAAGATCATTTATCTTGAAAGTGACGATCATTGGAGGAGGGAAAGCATATTAACTTTTTTCATTGACCTAAATAACCGATGACGAAAACATTACGTTGACATGTAATTGTCACGCTACAATAAATATGACTTTTGACAAGTCCAAGTATGGCATTTATAAAATGCGTATTCATTCTCTGTCAACTAAGGTTCGCTCCATGGCGTCACTAGCCGTGCCGATCAGTTCATATATAAACCGAACAACAAAAGTTCATGTGACATTGAATAAGATTTAATGCAAAGATATGTTTTTACCAGATCTGAAACAATTTCGATTTGCAACAGATAAAGGACTCCTGTAAGTATTCAAATGGTTTACTGCCATACTGACTTCAGGAGATGCGTGATATCATAAAAAAAACATGATCATGCCAAAATGTCAATTTACAAATCAAAAGCGTGTGTGTCCACCTCTGGTTGCGATGCAAGCAACACATCTTTCTCTCATGGAATGGATCAGGCGTCACACAAAGTCCTGTGGTATTGAGATTTCCCTCTACCACCATCAAACGGGTTCTCTGTCTTACTGTAATCCCACCCCATACCATAACTATGCCACCCCCGAACTGATCTTTTTCCATGACACAATGGTCGGCGAAACGTTCACCTCGACGGCAGTACACTCGAATCCGTCCATCGTTTTTGCTGAGGTGAAAACGAGACTCGTCAGTGAATAGAACTTGTCCCCACTGCATGGCCGACCAGCGTAGACGCTGTCTGCACACCTGTAGACGTGCTTGACGGTGGTTTCCTGTCAAAATGTGACGTCTGGTGCTTCTTCTGGCGACAATCCCTGCACATCTGAGGCGACGACGTACGGTGTGTGAAGATATTCGTCGAAGCCAGGGATGCTTCTTGCAGTCACTGTTGCTGGCTGAAATCGATTTCGTAGGTGTGTTGTTCGAATCCAGTTGTCTTGTCGATTATTGGTTACGCGTGGCCTGCCACTCTGGGGATGGTCTCTGACTGCATTCGTCTGTTGCCAACGTGGCCATAAACACCAAATGGTGTTTCTGTGGACGTTAAATTGTCTTGCAACATCACGTTGACTCGATCCTGCTTCAAGCATACGAATGGCTCACAGACGCTCATTTTCGGACAGGCGTGGCATTTCGTTATGTTGCATAATTGCGTAATTTTGTTGCATATGCATATGGAATCCCGTTAACGCACATGTTTTTATACCCATTCTTGGGCAGTGAAATGCATTCTGCAGTAGCTGCGTTTTTGTGACTTGATTCCATACATGTACTACAATATTGAAAACCAAACTTTACTTGTTTGAAAGATACACTAAAATATTGGTGTCAGAGGAACTTTTATTGTTGAGTATATTTCGCCGAAATTAAATTCCAACAATATTGAATGAAATTTTCAATGAAACTGTAAAAATAAATTAGACATAAAAAAGAGATATTTCAAAACCAGATAGTGTTACATTAGCTGAGCATTATGTTGCATACTTTAGTATAGATTTGTTGACATGGTATTTCAGGTGTTATGTGCACTCGGAATACCTTGCGTTTGGAAAAAAAAGTAACAAAACTCATTGTGGCGTGTATTGTACAGCTGTATATTTGTGTAGAAAACCTGCGCACTATACTCGAGAAAATATAGTATGTTTCAAGTGGGAAATACCAGTTGATTTCCTTATATTTTATGCTAAATTACCTTTGGAGTATCAATAACACATAATTCAACTAAATTTGCTTCATAAAGAAAAATGCATGCTCGTGCATAATGGTATTAAATGTCTTAGATTTCTAAACTTTTGTGAATAAATATATCTATGAGTTTTTAGAGCCCAAACTTGGGCTTTTGGTGAAAAAGTCCTAAATTAGGCTGCGTAAATATTAATATTCAGAGTCTTTTAATTCGTTATTAAGTAAGAATATCAATAATGTTTTACCACAAAAGTGTTGTAAAGTTAGCAGAGTTCCTTCTCAACCCTCTCACTAATGACTGTATTGGGTAATAAATAGACATAGCGACCTAAAATCTGCAAATAACACACGATTTCAGACAATACTGACGCGTGCCACTGCAAATATTCCCTGCCAAGTTGGTTAAACATTGAGGAATCGCACTTAGGGGTTGACCAGAGGCTATCAGTAGCGTTTCTCATCCAGCTTATTAAGGTACGTGATATGATTCTCAACGAATCAAGGAGATTCCCAGGAACATGGGGGCTTTTCGGCGACCGGAATTTTCATAGGAGGGCGAAAATGTCATCAAACTGGACAGCGTTGGTCTTTGTCTGACTGTGGCGTAAACAACGCTTACTTGTACGGTGAATAGAATGATGAACAAATATGTTTTTAAGGACGGTGACATAATAACTACAGTTTTATGTAATCTGTAGCTATCTTGGGATGATATAAAAGCAAAATGTTCCATAATCATACTTATTTCGCTGATTAAACCATGTACAAACAGAAACAGTTTGCAGATGTGTTGGGTTTTAACATATCCACAAAATCAATTGAGGCTGAAGAGTAGCGTGTTCCTGACTATTCAAAATATTGTATATATGCCATCAATCCTGCAAACAGCTTCTGACAGAACTCGGGACTATCTATACACTGTTAAAAAGGCAACAGTCAGCTCAATATTTGCGTACTACTCAGGTTGTGAGCTAGATTAACACTTAGTAACTGAAATACATTTGAGATGGAAACAAACAACTGAATTTAGATTGGATAGGAGCCTTAGTGAGATGGGAGATTCAGACTTTTGAAAAATCTAGACTTGCTTCATCGAGGACAAAATCATCTCTATAAGGGCGGGGCGGGAGTTCAGTAAAATAGTATGGTACTAGGACAAACTGGTTGTGAGCATAATCTCTTAGAACTCGTGAACGTCATTATCCTGTCTCCGTTAAGGCGAACCGTTCCAACAAATATAGCTGTATGTAAATCCTTTACGCATCCGTCTCAACCGTTTGCGAAAAAACAAACAATTATTGAGTGGGCTAAAAGTTTGGGTACTGACATTGATAAGACTAACACATGTGGTGATTATTACCAATGGTTATGATATTGCCATTCGAAAAAACTAATGCCCAAAGAGATTCGTTGATATTTGGCAGGAAAAATGTTTTTGATTTTATATATATTGTTTTATTGATCTTTAGAAGTTCTACGTAATGCCATTATATCAACTTCAAAAGTATCGACTTGCATAGCAGCAAGTCCCTTGTGCTAAAACTGACGATCCTGGTTACGTTATTTATTGCACGTACAGCTTCCAGCAGCTGCGACGTTACATCTGTAAACAATCCACGAAATCGTGAATGCACAGAATGGAAACGTTGAGTAAGGTATTTGAAGTCCGGCCTGTAACATAACGCGCAAGAGCTGACCAATGAAGGCTGAGAACGAGCAATACCGGTTTACACTGGTTTCGCTGAAGAGGAGGGAGCTTGATAAAATCGTTCATTCGCAGTAAATTCTCATGTCGAATAACCACGTTATTTCGACAGAAAACCAATGATGACATGACCATATACGGAAAATAACGACGTTTTCGCGATTGCAGTGGGGCCAGCCAAGCTATGTCAGTGGCTACACATGTTACACACCAACTCGAGCATATAAAACCATTCCGTCACTTGCAGCAGTACCACACTGGGTACAACTCTTGACAATGCAGAAGGTAAGTTGTTTTCTGTATGTTATAAAGTTATATATAAGGCTAACTAAAATACATTCTGCAGGGGAACCTACACTATCTGCGAGTATTTAAGGAAACCCTGAGCCTAGAGCTGGAAAGGGGATGAGTATAGGCTACTACAGCTGAGAAAGGGATAACAGTGGAATGGAGGTGAATGTTTTATTAAGTATATACTGAACAACAAAAGTTCATGTGACATTGAATAAGATTTAATGCAAAGATATATGTTTTACCAAATCTGAAACAATTTCGGTTTGCAACAGAAAAAGAACTCCTGTAAGTGTTCAAATGGTTAGATTTGCCATACTGACTTCAGCATATGCGTGATTTTATAAAAAAAACAGATGAACATGCCAAAACGTCAATTTACAAATCAATAGCGTGTGTGTCCACCTCTGGTTGCGATGCAAGCAACACATCTTTCTCTCATGGAATGGACCAGGCGTCACACAAAGTCCTGTGGGATATCTGTCCATATCTGCTGGAGCATGTTTCTAAATTCCTGGAGTGTCTGTGGAACACGTGGTTGACGTCAAAAGCACCGATCCATCTCATCCCACATGTACTCGATTGGTGAGAGATCAGGGGAGTTAGCCGGCCAGGGAATGACATTCACGATGTTTTGTTGAAGATAATCCTGAACAAGTCGAGCAGTATGAGGCCGGGCGTTGTTATGTTGAAAGGTAATGCCTGGGCCATGACGACGCAAAGACGGTAGAACAACAGGGCCGATGATCTCGTCGCAGTCATTGAGATTTCCCTCAACCACTATCAAACGGGTTCTCTGTCTTGCTGTAATCCCACCCCATACCATAACGCTGCCGCTCCAGAACCCATCTTCACCTCGACGGCGGTACACTCGAAGCCGTCCATCGTTGTTGCTTAGGTGGGAACGAGACTCGTTAGTGAATAGAACTTGTCCCCACTGCATGGCCGTCCAGCGTAGACGCTGTCTGCACCACTGTAGACGTGCTTGACGGTGATATCCTGTCATAATGGGAAGTCTGGCAGGTCTTCTGGCGACAATGTATGCACATCTGAGGCGACGACGTACGGTGTGTGAAGATATTCGTCGAAGGCCAGGGATGCATCTTGCAGTCACTGTTGCTGGCTGAAATCGATTTCGTAGGTGTGTTGTTCGAATCCAATTGTCTTGTCGACTATTGGTTACGTGTGGCCTGCCACTCCGATCTCGCAAGGATGGCCTCTGACTGCATTCGTCTGTTGCCAACGTTGCCATGAACACCAAATAGTGTTTCTGTTGACGTTAAATTGTCTTGCAACATCAAGATCCTGCTTCAAGCATACCAATGGCTCACAGACGCTCATTTTTGGACAAGCGTGGCATTTCGTAATGTTGAATAATTACGTAACTTTGTTGTTTTTCTGAGTGGTTGTTGTCAGGACGATGCTAAACAATGCATATGGACTCCCGTTAACGCACGGGTTTTAATACCCATTTTGGTTAGTGAAATGCATGGGGCTTGGAATGCATGCTTTACTGTAGCAGTTGCGTTTTTGTGACATGATTACATACATGTACAACAATATTGAAAACCAAACTTTACTTGTTTGAAACATACACTAAAATATCGGTGTCAGAGTATACATATAAAAAAAAAGAACTGTACTGACACGTTATCAGCGCTGAAAGAATACTTGGAGATGGTTGTATTATCATGCATAACTTCATATATAACTTAAAAAAACAAATGATGATGAGTATCTAATAAATATATTACGATTTTCCGCTGAGATGTTCAACATTTCAAACATGATTACCTTTTACAAACTGTTGGTTAAATAGACATAATAAAATTTTACAAAATTTCAATTACATAAAAAACAAAATTTATTTTGCCCCACAGTTAATGTATTATATAAATCGTATTTTCTTGTGATACTGCTGCTGATAATTGACAGAAAACAAATCTCACCACTTATGTCAACCACCGGTTTGCCTGCCTCGATATTTTATATAATTTAATTGCTTTTATTTTGAAGCAGACTTTCAATTGTTTCAAATGTTGATTCTTCAAGGATCCGATAATACTGGTGCTTCTCCTGCTGATTTGTCCCTCGTGCTGCATGAGGGGTAAGTTGGTTACTGTCGCTCACATGTATCGCATATCTCTTGCCCTATTGACACTTTACGTGTTATTCTATGGAATTACTAACAACAATAAGTTTGAACTAAATCATTAGCTCTTCAAAGGAGTTAAGTGCGAAATATTAGTCCAGATATTGAATCACAAGTGGTCAAAGATCTACATTATTATGATAAATGAATGGTATTATAGAATATTATGTAATATCCCCATATGGAAAACAATCGGATACAAACCTCTTGAACACATTCAGGTGTCATCATTTATGGGAAGAAAATGTGAAGCTTTACCTACATTGATCACGTGGTTTCTGAGGAGAAGAAGATTGTGATGGCAAATTCAACAAAATCAGATCTAAGTTCTCGCTGCCGCTAAACAAATTTCTGAGGACATCACAATACGGGTCACGTCAGAACGACCTTTTGCGAACTTTGACCGACGACTAAAATGATTAACAAAAAATTGACATCAGCCAATTAGAAAGCAGCTTTCTCGAGCTTTATGACACTCATTCCAAACTGTCGACTTCCATGTCCGTCTACGCTTGAAAAATATATCGACACAGTTCTCGATTGAAATTCTGAACTGAACAAGGGAACATTTTGGAATGTCTGATATATGGTTGAGAATGTATGGCAGTGCTTCCTACGTTCTGTGGAACGCCTCCTCCATTCATGTTTATCCCACGGAAGCCAGCGATAGACGATAATTTTGACGGAATCAGTCGTACGGGCCGTAACTGTCGTTCGGAATACTCTGTGGTAACGTTTTCGCGGTTGAATGATTACAACATAATTCTGACTTTCACTTTCATGATCTGGCAAGCGAGGCTTTATATTGGTCGGATGAAAGGTCGTTCCCGTCAGATCTTTGATAAGCGATAGCGAGAACTAAGATCTGATTTGAATGAGATTGTGATTATGATGGATGATGTTTTGTATTTTCCAGTATGGCGACTGGCAACGATATTGTATTTCCGATTATCATAAACTCACATGGTACTTCATAAAGTGATTATCTCACCCACCACGTTTCAGACTAATGGTCATGTAATATTTTACGGAGATTCTTTACTAAGAGAAATATCAAAGTTCGCTGGTTGCATATAGAAATCCCATTTTTCATGCCTTGAATATACGTGAAACACTTTATAGCAGCAAACACCCACTGGGTCCACTGAGTCCATGAAACAAATCAGCACCTGAAGTTCACAAGATCGGTTTGACAATTGTACAGTTTGTGTATCGTTGTTGTTCCTCCAGACAAATGTCCAGTCGTTGTTGACGTACATACAGTATCTGGATTCGCCTGTGAATAGGACATGTCGACAACGCCCGACCCGCTAATACCTGATTTGTACCCCATAGAAACGGTGATGGTAGCCACACAATGATTTTCACCCCTTTGAAACTGTCATGTCAAACTCGCCCTGATGTTCACCTCTTCGAAATTCCCCTCAAAACTGTTTTTGCGTCAATACCCAGAGTTTTACCCTTTCGAAAATGTCACAGAGACAATACGCTCATTCTGACCCATTCAAAACTGTCATGGTAACCACATTCAGAATTTTGAAACCTTTAAATTGTCATTATGACCGCACCCTGATATTCACTCCTGAGAAACTGTCACTTTCTGACTTTGACCCCCTCATTTATGTTTTGGCGTCCATACCTTGGTTTACACCCATTCTAAATTTTCACAGCGATCACACCATGAATCTTACCCCCTCAAAAAACATATCATGATTTGCACCTATTTGACACATTCATCGCGACCATATCCTGATTTGCACCTATTTGACACATCCATAGCGACAATATCCTGATTTGCACTTATTTGACACATTCATAGCGACCTAACCCTGATTTCCACCAATTCGAAACATTCAAAGCGACCATACCCTGAATGTCCCTCATTTGGAACATTTATGGCCACCACAACCTGATTATCACCCTTTACAAACGTTCATGATTACCAGCCTATAGCAACTGACATGGTGTTCAGACACCCATTACCATCTTCAAAAAACTGTCATGGCGACCACACCTGCTTATCATCCTTTAGAAACTAGCATGGCGACCACACCTTGATTATGACAATAAAAGAAACTGTCATGGCGTTGAGATGCTGATTAACAACCTTCAAAAACCCTTAAGCATTTGCATAGACGTTGTCTTTGGATCTTTTATTCTTATTTTGAAACACTTTCTGGAAACTAATTAAGCTTCATATTTTATTTTGCAGGCACCTCTAATCTCTGTGATTCGAAACCTTGTGCTAATGGTGGCCTATGCTTCGGTGGGATTAGTGACTACCAGTGTTGGTGTCAGAATGGTTTTCATGGTATCGGGTGTAAAGGTAGGTTTCAGAATGACCACAATGGAATGAGTTCTCTTCAAAGCATATTTTGAGAGTGTTTTTCAGTTATATGATGGCGTGTCAGATTGTTATTTTTGTTTGTTTGTGGTATGACGCCACACTCAGCAGTATTCCAGCTTGATTATTACCATTTTAAAACTGTCATGGTGGTCACACACTGATTATCATCACTTCGAAACTGTCATAGCAGCCACACCCTCAGATTCACCCTTTTGGAACTACCATGGCGATCCTATCCCGATTTTCAGCCCGTTGATGCCTTATTTTCTATCATTTGGAACTGGTATGAAGCCATCCCCTAAATTTCACCCCCTTGAAACTGTCATAGCGACCACAACCTGATTATGACCCTTTCAAAACTGTCATGGCGTTCACACCCTGATTATCACGCTTTAAGAAATGTCATGGCGTTCACACCCTGATTATCACGCTTTAAGAAATGTCATGGCGTTCACACCCTGATTATCACGCTTTAAGAAATGTCATGGCGTTCACACTCTGATTATCACGCTTTAAGAAATGTCATGGCGTTCACACACTTGGATTCCACCCATTCTAAACTACACCCTTATTCTCACCCCTGCTAAACTCTCACAGTGACCGGGCATCAATATTCACCCCTCCAAAACTGTTTTTGCGTCCAAACATTGGTTTTCAAGCACTCGAAACTGTCAAAGGGAAAATACCCTGGTTCTGACCAATTCAAAACTATACTGTTATTCCGATCACTGCCTGATTTTCAAACCCTCGAAAGTGTCATGTTGTCCACACCCTAAAAACTGTTTTGGCATCCATACCATGATGTTCACCCATTCAAAACTCTGATGACGACCATACCCAGATTTTAGCCCCTTCGAAACTGTCATGAAGACCACATCCTGATCCCCCCCCCCTCCCCCTCCCCCCCACACACACACATACACACACATACACACAAACATACACACACGCACACACACACTTCAACAACCCCCAAAAACTGTTTTGGCGACCATATATTGATGTTAACCCTTTCAAAACTCTCACAGCGTCCACACCCGGATCTTCATACCTGAAGATCTATCACGGCGGGTAAACCATGATGTTCATACATAAAGAACTGTCGTGGCGGGTATACCCTGATGTTCATACATGAAGAACTGTCCTGGCGGGTATACCATGATGTTCATACATAAACAACTGTCGTGGCGGGTATACCATGATGTTCATACATGAAGAACTGTCACGGCGGGTATACCCTGATGTTCATACATGACGAACTGTCCTGGCGGGTATACCATGATGTTCATACATGAAGAACTGTCACGGCGGGTATACCATGATGTTCATACATGAAGAACTGTCATGGCGGGTATACCCTGATGTTCATACATGACGAACTGTCCTGGTGGGTATACCATGATGTTCATACATGAAGAACTGTCACGGCGGGTATACCATGATGTTCATACATGAAGAACTGTCCTGGCGGGTATACCCTGATGTTCATACATGACGAACTGTCCTGGCGGGTATACCATGATGTTCATACATGAAGAACTGTCATGGCAGGTATACCCTGATGTTCATTCATGAAGAACTGTCGTGGCGGGTATACCCTGATGTTCATACATGACGAACTGTTGTGGCGGGTATACCATGATGTTCATACATGACGAACTGTCCTGGCGGGTATACCATGATGTTCATACATGAAGAACTGTCATGGCAGGTATACCCTGATGTTCATACATGAAGAACTGTCGTGGCTGGTATACCCTGATGTTCATACATAAGGAACTGTCATGGCGGGTATACCCTGATGTTCATACATGAAGAACTGTCATGGCGGGTATACCATGATGTTCATACATGAAGAATTGTCATGGCGGGTATACCCTGATGTTTATACATGAAGAACTGTCGTGGCGGATATACCATGATATTCATACATGAAGAACTGTCACGGCGGGTATACCATGATGTTCATACATGACGAACTGTCGTGGCGGGTATACCCTGGTGTTCATACATGAAGAACTGTCGTGGCAGGTATACCCTGATGTTCATACATTAAGAACTGTCGTGGCGGGTATACCCTGATGTCCATACATGAAGAACTGTCGTGGCGGATATATCCTGATGTTCATACATGAAGAGTGAGTGAGTGAGTGAGTATGGTTTTACGCCGCTTTTAGCAATATTCCAGCAATATCACGGCGGGGGACACCATAAATGGGCTTCACACATTGTACCCATGTCGGGAATCGAACCCGGGTCTTCAGCGTGACAAGCGAACGCTTTAACCACTAGGCTACCCGACCGCCCCCATACATGAAGAACTGTCGTGGTGGGTATACCCTGATGTTCATACATGAAGAACTGTCATGGCGGGTGTTCAGCCCATTGAAACTTTGTGGCGACGATACCAATATTTGCCCTCATTCGTAACTGTTATGGAAACCATATTCTGATTATCACCTTGTACGAACCGTCATACACACTAATTACCACCCTTTACAAATAGCTGTTGCGTCCAAACACTGATTCAAAAACCTTCATGGTGTTCACACACTGATTACTACACTTCAAAAACTGGCATGGCGTGTTGACACTGATTTCCACCCTTTTAAACTGTCATGAAGACCATGCCCTGATCATCACAATTAAAAACAACTTTCACAATTGTCGCCTCTATGAGCAGTTTTTCAGCAACACTAGTCTTAGGAAGTGCACTCTTCACGACTGAGGACTTCTTTGGGTAGCAGAAGTAGTGGTAGTTGTAGCAGCAGCATATGTGGAAGATGCTCAATACATTTACTGTCAGTAATAATTATAAACTCCAAAATGCCCATATCAAGGAAAACTTTCGGTCAGAATATAAATGTAGACTAAAGAAAATCTGGAGTGAATGCTCGCCTTCAAGTTAAAGCCACAAATATGTATGTTGTACCTGTCCTTTTGTATTCTTTTAGTGTTATTTATTGGACAAAACAAGAAATTCATGGTATTGACACCCTCACACGAAGAATCATGTCAGACAATAGAGCCAACAACCCCTGCTCTTCCCTCAATCACATATATTTACAAATCTATCTATCTATATATCTATATTTATCATCCAAAACTGGCTCCCACAGGAGATATCGCTGGGATGAGATCAAGCGATATCTACACTGTAAATATCGCTGCAATGAAATTACATCACGATGCTTTGCAGACCATTGTGACGTCACTGGTTACCATGACGTCACAATCAAATGACATCACTAATGGCTCTGCTACTGAAGCTGTTTGCAGTACGTTTTACACTGAAGACACTCCTAATTACTGTCTACAAATTGGAAAAAGTTGAAAGAATGATGTTGGATGATAAATAAAATCTCACCCTCGTGTCTTTTGATATCAAATATATCAACACTCGTTGATAAAAGTGGCAAAAATCCTCGGCAAGACTCGGAATTTTTCCACTTTTATCAACTCGGGTTGATATATTTGATATCAAAAGACACTCGGGTGAGATTCTCTATATGTTATTTATATATGTGTAAAACTGTAACAAACAACAAAGTCCCTTCATCTACAGACTAGAACCAATCTTTACATATTGCACGTTTGTTTTCCAGACCGGAGGCTAGACATCCTGATTATAGAAGATGTGTCGCGCTCTATCGGCAAACCCAACTTTGACGAGATGAAACGCTTCCAAGAGAGTATGGTAAACTCTACCAAGATAAACCCTAATGAAGTTAACGTTGCATTGATAGCGTTTTCTTCAAACGCGAGAGTGGTATTCAGATTCAACGAGTACAACAACAACAAGTCGAGTGTCCTGGCAGCTCTCCAGCGGCAGACATACGAAGAGGGTCCATCTACGAACATTGGCGATGCAATCAAGCTGGCTACAAGTACAATTTTCAATGGCGATCGCAAATACGCTGACAACAATGTCATCATGTTTACCGATGGGTACACCACAAGGGAGGACCGGGAGGCCATTGCTGCCAGTATTGGTAATCTGAAAGCCAAAGCTGAGGTATTTGTTGTTGCTATCTCGGATCCACATTCCACAATCAACCTTATTGCTTCGCGACCTTCCAACATCTTCCATATTCGCTCCCCTAATGCAGTCAGTGCTATCCTACGGAGGATGAAGAGTGGACCGAACAGGTTGGAGTGAAATAGCTGCACTAAATGATATTTCGTAACCAATAAATGGTCTGCATATGCCTGGGAGTTTGTTGTTTCGTGCGTGCGTCTGTGTGTGTGTGTGTGTGTGTGTGTGTGTGTGTGTGTGTGTGTGTGTGTGTGTGTGTGTGTGTGTGTGAGTGAGAGAGAGAGAAAGGGTGTGTGTGTGTGTGTGAGAGAGTGTGTATGTGTGTGTTTGGGGGTAGGGGATGGGGTGTGTGGGGGGGGGGGGGTGAGGAGGCTGCATGGGGGGGGGGGTTTGGGGGGGGGGGGGGGGGGGGTTGGGGCGAGGATTTGAGGGATGAGGGATTTCACGTGTCACAAATTTCACGTCAGTTGTATTGCTGGCTGTTTAGTGAAACACAGCCAACAGTGACATTAGAGACTGTTTAATGAAGCACAATTAACAGTGGCATAACTGACTGTTTAGTGAAGCACAACCAATAGTGTTATAACTGACTGTTAAGTGAAGCACAACCAACAGTGGCATTACTGACTGTTTAGTGAAACACAGCCAACAATGACATTACAGAGTGTTTAGTGAAGCCCAGCCAACAGTAGCACTGCTGACTGTTTAGTGAAGCACAACCAATAGTGGCAGTACTGACTGTTTAGTGAAACACAGCCAACAATGACATTACATACTGTTTAGTGAAGCCCAACCAACAGTGGCATAACTGACTGTTTAGTAAAACACAACCAATAGTGGCATTACTGACTGTTTAGTGAAGCACAGCCAAAAGTGTCATTACTGACTGTTTACTGAAACACAGCCATCAGAAACATTACAGACTGTTCAGTGAAGCACAACAAACAGTGGCATTACTGACTGTTTAGTGAAGCACAACCACCAGTGGCATTACTGACTGTTTAGTGAAGCACAACCAACATTGCCATTACTGACTGATTAGTGAAGCACAACCAACAGTGGCACTGCTGACAGTTTAGTAAAGCACAACCAACAGTGGCAGTACTGACTGTTTAGTGAAGCACAGCTAACAGTGGCATCGAATACTGTTGATTGAAACACAGCAAACAGTGGCATTACTGACTGTTTAGTAAAACACAACCAACAGTGTCATTACTGAGTGTTTAGTGAAGCACAACCACCAGTGGCATTACTGACTGTTTTATTGAGCACAATTAACAGTGGCATAACTGACTATTTAGTGAAGCACAACCAATAGTGTTATAACTGACTGTTAAGTGAAGCACAACCAACAGGAGTGGCATTGCTGACTAGTAAGGGAAGCACAACCAACTGATCCATTGCTGACAGTTTAGTAAAGCACAACCAACACTGGCATTGCAACTGTTTAATGAAGCACAATTAACAGTGGCATAACTGACTGTTTAGTGAAGCACAACCAATAGTGTTATAACTGACTGTTAAGTGAAGCACAACCAACAGTGGCATTACTGACTGTTTAGTGAAACACAGCCAACAATGACATTACAGACTGTTTACAGAAGTACATGAAACAGTGGCACTGCTGACTGTTTAGTGAAGCACAACCAATAGTGGCAGTACTGACTGTTTAGTGAAACACAACCAACTGTGACATTACAGACTGTTTAGTGAAGACCAGCCAACAGTGGCATAACTGACTGTTAAGTGAAGCACAACCAATAGTTGCAATACTGACTGTTTAGTGAAGCACAGCCAACAGTGGCATTACTGACTGTTTACTCAAACACAGCCATAAAAAAAACATTACAGACTGTTTAGTGAAGCACAACGAACAGTGGCATTACTGACTGTTTAGTGAAGCACAACCACCAGTGGCATTACTGACTGTTTAGTGAAGCACAACCAACATTGCCATTACTGACTGATTAGTGAAGCACAACCAACAGTGGCACTGCTGACAGTTTAGTAAAGCACAACCAACAGTGGCAGTACTGACTGTTTAGTGAAGCACAGCTAACAGTGGCATCGAATACTGTTGATTGAAACACAGCAAACAGTGGCATTACTGACTGTTTAGTAAAACACAACCAACAGTGTCATTACTGAGTGTTTAGTGAAGCACAACCACCAGTGGCATTACTGACTGTTTTATTAAGCACAATTAACAGTGGCATAACTGACTTTTTAGTGAAGCACAACCAATAGTGTTATAACTGACTGTTAAGTGAAGCACAACCAACAGGAGTGGCATTGCTGACTAGTAAGGGAAGCACAACCAACTGCTCCATTGCTGATAGTTTAGTAAAGCACAACCAACACTGGCATTGCAACTGTTTAATGAAGCACAATTAACAGTGGCATAACTGACTGTTTAGTGAAGCACAACCAATAGTGTTATAACTGACTGTTAAGTGAAGCACAACCAACAGTGGCATTACTGACTGTTAAGTGAAACACAGCCAACAATGACATTACAGACTGTTTACAGAAGTACATGAAACAGTGGCACTGCTGACTGTTTAGTGAAGCACAACCAATAGTGGCAGTACTGACTGTTTAGTGAAACACAACCAACTGTGACATTACAGACTGTTTAGTGAAGACCAGCCAACAGTGGCATAACTGACTGTTAAGTGAAGCACAACCAATAGTTGCAATACTGACTGTTTAGTGAAGCACAGCCAACAGTGGCATTACTGACTGTTTACTCAAACACAGCCATAAAAAAAACATTACAGACTGTTTAGTGAAGCACAACGAACAGTGGCATTAATGACTGTTTAGTGAAGCACAACCACCAGTGGCATTACTGACTGTTTAGTGAAGCACAACCAACATTGCCATTACTGACTGATTAGTGAAGCACAACCAACAGTGGCACTGCTGACAGTTTAGTAAAGCACAACCAACAGTGGCAGTACTGACTGTTTAGTGAAGCACAGCTAACAGTGGCATCGAATACTGTTGATTGAAACACAGCAAACAGTGGCATTACTGACTGTTTAGTAAAACACAACCAACAGTGTCATTACTGAGTGTTTAGTGAAGCACAACCACCAGTGGCATTACTGAGTGTTTTATTAAGCACAATTAACAGTGGCATAACTGACTTTTTAGTGAAGCACAACCAATAGTGTTATAACTGACTGTTAAGTGAAGCACAACCAACAGGAGTGGCATTGCTGACTAGTAAGGGAAGCACAACCAACTGCTCCATTGCTGACAGTTTAGTAAAGCACAACCAACACTGGCATTGCAACTGTTTAATGAAGCACAATTAACAGTGGCATAACTTACTGTTTAGTGAAGCACAACCAATAGTGTTATAACTGACTGTTAAGTGAAGCACAACCAACAGTGGCATTACTGACTGTTAAGTGAAACACAGCCAACAATGACATTACAGACTGTTTACAGAAGTACATGAAACAGTGGCACTGCTGACTGTTTAGTGAAGCACAACCAATAGTGGCAGTACTGACTGTTTAGTGAAACACAACCAACTGTGACATTACAGACTGTTTAGTGAAGACCAGCCAACAGTGGCATAACTGACTGTTAAGTGAAGCACAACCAATAGTTGCAATACTGACTGTTTAGTGAAGCACAGCCAACAGTGGCATTACTGACTGTTTACTCAAACACAGCCATAAAAAAACATTACAGACTGTTTAGTGAAGCACAACGAACAGTGGCATTACTGACTGTTTAGTGAATTACAACCAACAGTGGCTTTACTGACTGTTTAGTGAAGCACAACCAACATTGACATTACTGACTGATTAGTTAAGCACAACCAACAGTGGCACTGCTGACAGTTTAGTAAAGCACAACCAACTGTGGCATTGTTGACTGTTTAGTTAAGCAAAACCAACAGGAGTGGCATTGCTGACTGGTTAGTAAAGCACAACCAACTGTACCATTGCTGACAGTTTTGTGAAGCACAACCAACACTGGCATTGCTAACTGTTTAATGAGGCACAACCAACAGTGGCATTACTGACTGTTTAGTGAAGCAGAACCAACAGTGGTATTATTGACTCTTTAGTGAAGCACAACCAACAGTGGCATTACTGGCTGTTTAGTGAAACACAGCCATAAAAAAACCCATTACAGACTGTTTATTGAAGCACAACGAACAGTGGCATTACTGACTGTTTAGTGAAGCACAACCAACATTGACATTACTGACAGTTTTGTGAAGCAGACCCAACAGTGGTATTACTGACTCTTTAGTGAAGCACAACCAACACTGGCATTACTGGCTGTTTAGTAAAGCACAACCAACTGTGGCATTGTTGACTGTTTAGTTAAGCAAAACCAACAGGAGTGGCATTGCTGACTGTTTAGTGAAGCACAACCAACATTGCCATTACTGACTGATTAGTGAAGCACAACCAACAGTGGCACTGCTGACAGTTTAGTAAAGCACAACCAACAATGACATTACAGACCGTTTAGTGAACCACAGCCAACAGTGGCATAACTGGCAGTTTAGTGAAGCACAACTAATAGTGGCATTACTGACTGTTTAGTGAAGCACAGCCAACAGTGGCATTACTGACTGTTTAGTGGAGCACAACCAACATTGACATTACTGACTGTTTAGTGAAGAACAACCAATAGTGGCATTACTGACAGTTTATTGAAGCACAGGAAACAGTGGCACTGCTGACAGTTTAGTAAAGCACAACCAACTGTGGCATTGCTGACTGTTTAGAAAAGCAAAACCAACAGGAGTGGCATTGCTGACTGGTTAGTGAAGCACAACCAACTGTTCCATTGCTGACAGTTAAGTGAAGCACAACGAATAGTGGCATTACTGACTGTTAGGTGAAGCACAGCCAACATTGGCATTACTGACTGTTTACTGAAACACAGCCATCAGAAACATTACAGACTGTTTAGTGAAGCACAAGAAACAGTGTCATTACTGACTGTTTACTGAAACACAGCCATCAGAAACATTACTGACTGTTTAGTGAAGCACAGCCAACATTGGCATTACTGACTGTTTACTGAAACACAGCCATCAGAAACATTACTGACTGTTTAGTAAAGCAAAACAAACAGGAGTGGCATTGCTGAC